ATTTCAAAGTAATACATTTATCTTCATAATACGTCAAGGAAACTTCATATAATCCAAATTCACCCGGACTAACAACACCAAGCACCCAATCATAAAAAATTTTTCATTTCTACCAAATACACATAGTGTTTCACAGCATATATACTATCTTCTATGAACAAGTAAATAGGTGTTGTAAATTTTACAAAAGGCCATACATTTGCATCGTATGTCACAATTATGCAATCAATTATTTTACTATCTTCTTTAAAATAGGGCTTCAATTCACCAGATCTAAAAAACATTTAATAAATACTTAAATTATTCTAAAAGATTTACACGTTTGCATTATAACGTGTGGTGAAACTAATACACCGTATGTTTCGTTATCCTTTAAAATCACTTGTTGCAGTTTCTCAACATTTTCTATCGAGTATTCACGATCATTAAAATAACTTGTTACATAGTGTATTATAAACCCCATTAAATCATGATCATATGGTTCTAGACCTGTACAGGAAAATAATTTTCCAAATCGCAAACAACATAAACTAATATGTTTTAATTTATAATGCACCACATCATCACGAGTTAATTCTACTTTCACAATATGAATTGAATCTTCTGTATATAGTTTTCCACCCATATACACGTACGTCGATACATCACAATACATCGTGTCTTGATGAAAAATCGTAATAGCTATTTCTGATCCGTGCATATACACGTTATTCAACATATTGTCATCTCTCGTGCTAAACAACCAACAAATTTTATCGTGATCCCACTAAAAAAATAATTAAAAAACATACATGTTAGTCTTCACAGCAATCGTCCAAATTATTATCAACAAGACGCCGACTCGGCGTTAACCTCGGGTCGGTGGATAGGGCATCATCTGGTAAATATGCAAAAATGGTGTAAATCACGATAGTTTAATAGTTCACTAGTATAAATGGTGAATCAGTGAATCAAAGCTCCATTTTTAACATTTTATTGATAATAATTACTGACCCTCATCAAACCTATTGTTTTCTCTCTGCATTATATCAGCGGATGTCGAGAATTTTTAACGTTCTACTGAAAAACGGGAGCGGTGATTGTAGGGAAATTTCGGCCCAAGGTAAATATTTATACGGACTAAAATTAGCACACAGCATTATTAAAAATAATGCAGCGCATTATTAAAAATAATGCAGCATGCAGACATTAGCGGTAGTGCATCTTCGTCAGCGGCCACCCCGACATGCACACGCGATAGCGTGAACATCCCAAGATGGGAAGGTGACAGTGCCTGAAGCGCTGCCAAAAACGGCTACCATGAGTCCTTTCAGTTCAATTTTATAGAGAAATAGTTTCGTTTGTGCTTGTGGGATTTTATCCTAGATATACGCATGTGCAGAACACACCATAAGTTCTATTCCTGTGTTTATCCAATACGCTATTTGAATAAACCTTATCATTAATGATAATATGTAAACTAGAACACTATAATTGACCTCCGCTTGTGGAGATTTTAGTTTAGGGCGATTAATTAAACTGAAATCTGTTCTATCACGATGCACTACAGTGCCTATGGTTATGTCTATATGTGTGTCCTCGCAAATGTCTAGTGTAACGTTGGATAGGTTCATTGTCATACGGTCCCGACAAGCAGCAACGTACAGTAGTCTTCCAGCCGAAAATAATTACTTTTGATTTGGGTCAGTAATTATAATAGATAACAAGTGAAAGTTGGCCGCGGTATTCCCATGCTATGCATACGAAGTATTGTGCATTATATCAACATATACTCGAGAATAGTTATTCAGCTAAACATGTATGTCAAAATTATCACATCTTCTGGTTTATCAAATTATCACATCTTCGGATTTTGTGCAAGGACAGCTTCGGGTTATCGGAAGTTGTCGTCTCCTCCGCAGGCTCTTCGACTACGCGCTCGGCTCGACACAAATGGAAAAAAAAAAAATAGGAGCCGAATTTATGACCTCGGTGTCGTACCGACCCGAGGTAATAAAAAAATAACAATTCCAGAGTTTTCTTCGCGCCAAACAATATATAGAACAAAAATAGAACGCACATAACAACCGTCACACGCTGCCAAATCATCTAGAAAAAACACAATTAAAATTCCATTATGCAATGTTCAATGTCAATGTCAAATTCCATGACCATATAAGGATAACAACGCCACTATAAGGATAACAACGCCACTATAAGGATAATAACGCCACAAACTATATTATTACTAACACCATATTAGGACAATTACGCGTCACAAACAAAAAAAATACTAATAAACTGCACAAGCAATTACATATTATTTCACAGACAAGCTTCAAGATGGCAACAACAGAATTTTTACAGTTCGTAAATTACATGGGTGTGGAATTAACAGCGACCAATATGTCGATATTTTCGGATTTGTACGTTAATTTCACACAATTTCAGCCACAATTTACTTGTGGGAATTTCGCCGAGAAATTCATACTGTGGAAACGTTTTTACGACGAGGCCAAAGCGACCGAACAACAAATCCTCCACACAGATCTCTTCAACACGCCAGCAAAAGATCCTCGTCAATTAAAACACGTACCCATACAACTACCCGAAGCATTGGCAGATATAAATCAGGATAATCTATTTCAAAAATTTCACATTGGAAAATGAAATCACTACTACTAAACCCGAAACGAAAAACACTCATCATCCAGAAGAAACATTTGGTCGTGACGAACAAAACACCAATAACACCACCGCCGCCACCCCGGGTAGTACCACTTGATAATATAATGTCTATTATACCCACCGAAAATATCGAAATACTCAAAACGGATCAATCTTCAAATCAGCAAAATCTGAAGTTACATCGAATGATACGGCTACCTATAACCCTAGTCGCGGAAAAAATATCCAACAAATGAAAGCCGCCTACGAAAACGAAAGTAAACCGTCACCACCTAAACCGAAACCAAGAAAACGAAAGCGCGAGAACGATGACGTCATCCACGGTCGGGGTCGACCGACAAAAGATTCGAGATGCAAACAGCGTCGAAAAAACCGAAATAGATTCAGGAACCGACGATGATTCACAACTATCAATTCGTGAAGTGCAACTATTAAGTGGGAACGGATCACTTTGAAAGAAATTTAAACTACTAACAAAACACGAGAAAGATATCAAATGCTTTCAAATAAAACACTATGCATCGCTAGAATACATAGCAGAAAAAAAGAAAAAAGCATTTGAAATTATTAAAGAACAAAGACAGAACCTGAAAAAACTGAACTACCTAGAACAAAAAACTCTTGCTAATATAAAAGATATTCAATACTACTAGACACGATGTAAATATATATACTATTAATGTAAATAAACATTAATAAATAAACATTAATAAACATTTTTAAATCAAATGAATGGAAAAAATCAATTTCACCCCAAATACCCCTCAATACCCCACACACACCACCCCGTGATCCCTCACCATCCCTCACTATCCCCACCTGCACCCCAACCCTCACCCAACCCGCACCCCAACCCACGCAACACCCGATGTGCGTCACACCTGTCAATCACACACGTCACATGATACCATAAAACATAAAAACACCGCCAAATTCAAAAATCATCACTTCGGTCGACCAAGGCTTCGGGTTCACATCTCTCGCTCTTGAATTGCGCAATCGCGTGGCCAAGCGAACTAAATTAGGGGACTGGGGAGACACCCGAAAGTACCCCCGTCCGTGGAACACTTTCCCAACACTTTTTTTGCTGAATCGACAATTTTCGTAATACTATCTTATAGTAAAAAAAAAAATTCCCACACCCCCACTAAAAAATTGTGTATTTTCATCAATGTACTATTATCACACAGTATGCACAGGCTTCGACAGATGGATTACTAGGCAAAGACATCATCAATTGATTTTGAGACGAAAGCCTGGAATAAAATTATATCCATTTCAACCCGAAACTTCCTTGGATAAAAAAGTATCACTCTCTTAATTTACGATTTAAAACATTCATAAAAAATAGAAAACAGAAAAAGAGAAAAACTAGAAAAAGGTGTGCTGCAAGCTGTACAGATATTCTGTTGGTTTTTGATGCTTTAAAAATGGCAATCTTGTTAAATATTACTGTATTATGTAACTGGTTTGCGAGAAGCAATTATCAGGCTTGTACATTGTCATTTACTAGGAAATGGCAGTTCAATGACAGAATTGTTTGGCTCTATCAGAAATTCAGTTACTTTATTTTTAGATGTAGAAGTCAGATATGAAAATCGTCAAATTCGTGTAATTCGACACAAGATGCTGTCACTGGCACACAACTGTATCAAAATTAATAAAAAACGACAAGAAACAAGAAAAAAAGCTGTTTCTATCAATAAACAAAGATTAATTGATATGAAAAGCAGTCTTTAGAGCATATTAGAATGATTTTTCAGCACTTACCAATTGGATTTATCCACGCTTTTGCTGACAACTCGCAGATCGAACAGTGAACCATGAGCTCCAACTGATATACCGCTGACCCATAATGCTGACACATACCGCTGACCCAGAATGCTACAGATGGCTCATATTTAATTGACATCCGTAAAAATATATCCAGGATACTTTTAAAAATACTATTCTTTGTATTAGTTCAATCGTTATTAAATATTACTGCCTCTGGCTTTTAATCAGATTTTTTAAGATTGAATAAAGGGAATAAAGAGAAAAAACAACACATTTTTTCCTTTTATCTCGGCTTTACTAGAAGTTCTCAGGGTCTGAAGACTCCAATGGCACCCCTGTTCTTTCTTGGAGTTATGAATTTTAGTTGGATTGAGATTTGTTTGGGCAAGAAAGATCAATTTTATATTTTTACGCATTTTGGTAGCCATCTTGGATTTTCGATGGTCGAAATATAAATTTGGACTCATATCAACAGATTTAAGGTGAATGGCCTTGTTACAAAGTTTGTCAAACCTCGCCTAAAAAAATGCTTTGTTTACTGGACTAAGTTTCAGAGAATGATACAAACTGGTTTTTCGAACTATTCTCAAGCAATTAACACCATAGTTTGGACATTTGAAGATCTCGGCTATGATGACGACTTGAAGGCAGCGAGCAATGTTAAGACGGCAGTCGAGAAATTGCCAACATCGATGACATTGAAGTGGAACGAACACCTACTTCACAATAAAGTATCTCGCCCAACCCTCACGGTCCTTGCCAAAGGTTGCAAAAACAGGTGGAGGCACACAAACTGTTGCCAATGAGGCAAACCGAAATACAAGCCCCTGGGGAAATGGAATGGATCGCAACATGGTGATGGCCCTGGGAATTATGTAAATTGCCAGTTAACAACGATGCGGTAACACCCACCCCTGCACATTAGGGGATGGTAATCATCCCACTTCCCGATGCCCACAGTTTATTGCATTGAATCCTGACAATAGAGCTGAGAAGGTGAAAGAGACAAAACTGTGTTTTTGGTGCCTTTCCCCCGGTCACCGCTCCCAGAATTGCCCCACCCCGAAGGAATGCAACACTGGTGGCTGTAAGAAAAGGCATCATCCTTTGATGCACGATACAAAGCGTGTTTATCAAACTTGTGGCTCCAAACAGCACGTTGGACTCACATATCAGCAAGCATCCCAAGTCCTACTTCAAATTCTCCCAGTAACCATTCATGGGCTGGTGGGCCTTCACAGAACTTATGCCATGTTGGACATGGGTAGTGCGTGGACACTCATTCAAGCTAGTGTTGCCAATAAAGTTGGACTGACTGGACCCACTGAGCAAATGATCTTAAATGGGGTTTAGCAGCATAGTTGTATTGCATCAATGATTGTTGACTTTGGTGTTAGTTCTGTGGCTAATCCCACCTACCCCTTTATTGTTGCACAAGCTAGGATGGTAGAAAGGCTGAACCTTCCGAAGATAAGCATCAACATGTCGAAGGAGAAGAATCGTTGGCCTCACTTAGCGAACCAGTAAAGGATGTTGATATCATGGTCTTGCAGGGTGCTGATGTCTTTGACTTGATTGTGCCTCTGGAAATAAGAACCGGTTCAAAGGGAACTCCTAGAGCGGTACGCACTGCTCTCGGTTGGACTGCGACTTCTCGTCTCCCAGGGAGTAGTGACATCAATACGGTCACTGCCATGAAAGTCCATATCACAACTCCTGAAGAAGACCTCACTCATCAAGTCCAGCTGTGGTGGAAGATTGAGTCATTTGGGTGTAAATATGTGGAAGAAACCTCTTGATCTGTCGAAGACAAGAAAGCCCTTGAAATCCTTGAATCGACCACCAAACATACTGGAAAACAAAAGGCTATCTCAAAAAGAAGCTTCTGCCCCTGTGAAACACCAGTGGTTCCTCCTATATCACCCTGTTACTAACCTGAACAGACCCGGCAAGATTCGAAGGGTCTTCAATGCTGCATCCAAATTTAAAGGAGCATCTTTAAATGACCACCTGATGACTGGACCCAATCTCCTCAACCGGAATTTTGATATGTTTCCATGAAGAAAGGGTTGCCATCTCCGCTGACATTAAGTCCATGTTCTCACAGGTTGTTCCCAAGGACGATCAGACCATGTTATGTTTTCTGTGGAGGGAGGACAGGAATTCGCCCCCGGAAGTTTATCAATACTGTCAACACATCTTCGGAGCAAAATCCTCACCTACTTCAGTCAATTATGTTCTTCATCGAACCACCAAGGACAATTCTAGCGAATTCCCATTGGCAGCAGAGGCAATCATGAAAACCTTTACCTGGACGAACTCTTTAAGTCAAGAAATCGCAGTTGACATGTGCCAAGACCTTACCAACCTGCTGTCGAAGGGTGGCTTCAGACTAACCAAGTGGTGCAGCAACTCCCGAGAAGTTCTCTCCAATATACCGGAGAGTGAACTTGCTCCGTGTCTGAAAGGCCTTGGCCTAGACGGTAAACTACCTATCGAACGTGCACTGGGAGCCCTTTGGAACACGGAGGAGGACTTGTTTGTCTTCACTAGCTGCTTGCCAAAGGCAGCTTCTACCCGGCGACAAATCCTGAGTGTCATTTCTTTCATGTTTGACCCGCTTGGGATGATTGCCCCTTACATACTTCGAGCAAAGTTGTTCTTCCAAGCTTTGTGGCAGATGAAACAAGGATGGGACGAGACAATTCCTTCTGAGGACCTTGCTCCCTTCCTGGAATAGCTAAAGGAGCTCAACGACCTAACCTCATTTTGAGAATCGAGATTCTATCGATCAGTTGCCACTATCGCACTGGTCATTCAAGTCCATGTGTTTGGCAATGTTTCATTGGATGCATTTTGTGCAGTTGGTTACTTCCGATTCCTCTATCCAGATGGGTCCATACAGTGTTGTTTCATCATGGGAAGAACTCGGGTAGCCCCTTTGAGACAATTGAGCATCCCTAAACTTGAGTTGCAAGCAGCTGTGCTATGTGTTCGTCTACTGAATGTGATAAAGACAGAGCATACATACAAGATCAGTTCCTATTATCTATGGACGGATAGCACTACCATTCTCTAATGGATTCGAAACCACAGTTGCCGGCATCTGACATTTATTGCAAATCAAATTGCGGAGATTCAAGACGACAGTGACCCATCTGAATGGTGACACGTCCCTGGGCATCTAAATGTAGCGGACGACGGTAGCCGCAGCCTCCGCCTTGCAAACCTTGATCCACAATGCAGTTAGTTAAACGGTCCGGCCTTTCTTACACTACCAGAAGAGTTTTGGCCTGCAGACATTGCCGTCCCTCAAGAAGTTAGTTTGGCAATTGAAGTGACTAGTTCTTCCTGTGCCAGTGACATTTCGAAAGACAGTCCCTTGAATCCAACATGTTTCTCATCATGGCATAAGCTGTTAAGCCCAACTTGTTGGATCTTGCGATTCACAAGTAACTGATTCAAGAAATCTCAAGATTGCAAACTTGGTGCTCTAACCGTGACAGAGTACGAGAATGCAAAACAGTTCTGGATAAAGCGAGCTCAAATGGAATGTTTCCCACTCGAAGCGCATGGCCTTAAGGAGAAAAAATCAATCCCATGTCAGAGTCATATCCTGACCCTGTCTGCATTTCTGGACGATGAGGGTATAATTCATTTTAGTGGTCGTCTCATGAAGGCACCGATCCCTTATTCCGCCTGACATCCTTTGCTTTCAAAGATGCAGGTCAAACGTAACTTGGCAAAAGTTTGTCAATGTTTGGTAAAAGTTATGAAATTGTTCCCAATTCTAAAAATTTCTAATATCTGGTTAAATTTGTCCAGAAATGTTAAACTTTGCTCTGTCAAGAATGAAACAGACTAAATCTAATTTTTCTAAATATATAAACATTTCTATATTTAGAAAATATATCAGAAAAATTTATAGATACCTTGTCACTTAAGGCATATACAGCTACTATTTTGTGGAAGGCAGTAGGTTTATCATGATCTTTGTTTTATGGAGGCAAAATCTTCCAAGGCTACAACGTTTGACAGCCGAATTATTTGGCTGGTCAGCGTCTTCCGCCATAACAATAACAAAATGGAGTAAAAACAATGGAGGAATTCACTAGCATAGGCTGTTGATGAAGAATCAAGATTTGTTTACAAGGCTGTGGCTACGATAATCATTAAGATATTGAAAGGGCTTGACACTAAAGAATAATGGCAGCTGACGAATGTCAAATAGTAAGTCTACTGACAATCGGGGTCATTGAGGGGTTCGAGGCATATCTTTGTATTAGTTAATTTAATGTTGGAGTACTTTTATCTTGACTTTTTAAATAAATCTTCACAGTAAATCGATGTTCGATAATTTGTTGACTAAGGGACATCTTTACCTGTTGCAAATTTATAACTTGTTTTGTTTATATTCAGCTAGAAAATTTTTATTATTTATACAATACGGTTCATACATAACAGGAAACCTGTGTCAGTGCATTTCCCAAAAAGACTTTAGACAACAGTAAAGGTCAAACAAATGTTATCACTGTTCTAGGTCAAAATAATAAGTAAAATCTCGGTCTTTGAAAGCAGAGTTTGCAGTAAACGGTGAACATTCTTATTTCTTAACATTCTTATCGAAAGTCGAAAATGTTGATGTTTTGTTGGCCTGTAGTACCCCCAAAATTTACAGGCTGCAATATTTAATTTCATATTATGTAAGATCAACCTTTAATACGGTGGCCCATAGGGGACATGCTGCAAATAAAATAATTGCAGTCATTTTATTGAAGTTGCAGAAATTATATTATTACTGCAGTAATTATACTATTATTGCAGTAAGTAAAGTAAAGTTGCTGCAAGTTAAATATAAAGTTGCTGCAAGTTAAATATAAAGTTGCTGCAAGTTAAATAAAAAGTTGCTGCAAGTTAAATATAAAGTTGCTGCAAGTTAAATATAAAGTTGCTGCAAGTTAAATATGAAGTTGCTGCAAGTTAAATATAAAGTTGCTGCAAGTTAAATATAAAGTT